TTTCTCTATATTTTTTTAATAAACTTTTAAGTAGTAAACTTTGACGTACGTATCTACTACAAATGAAAGAAACAACCAGTCTTCTCTTCTAAAATTAAACAAGTCTTTATCTTTTAGTAATAAAATTTTATCTTGTGTAAAATTTCACTGAGAGACACCTCGTCCCGCGTCCGCTAACTCAGGCCGCCGCCTCCCGCGCACAGAACGAAACCGACAGATCGCAACTCTGTCCGTGTCAGTCCGCGCTTCGAATCAGACGTTTTTATGCTCGAGTGCAATCTCGTTAAACTTGCGAGATCTCGCTAAAAAAGGCGGAGATCTCGCGAGAACGAGATTGCTTTCCTTAGCCTCCGCCAATATTAAATCCATGCCGAAATATCTAGTAATTCAAAACAAAAAAATCATGCCCATTGATAATAGATGAATGTTGTTTCAACATTTTCACCTGCAACAGAAAACCCATTTTCCTACAAAATATTATAGCGTTATGCTGTCAGTGGAACAACGACAGTGCGCGCCATCTATTGTTTAAAATAATAAACTTATTTGAAATAGAAATTGGTGTTGGCTTTAGTCATGCCGCACTTTTTTTTAGACTATTTTCTTATTAACTTAGGATATGTACAATTTACTAGAAATGTTTTAAGTAAATGTTTAAATTTTAAATAGTGGTTTTCATAGTTGTAAGCAATCCTTCTATGACATCTAGTGTGTAGTAGCAGTACTAATATACAATAGTGGAACTAATAAATGTGGAATATTTCGACAACGAACTATAGATGGCGCTTAAATTTTATTTTTTGTGTTAAAACAATGTTTAACAAATACGAAGGAGGAGCAATACACAGTATATAGTATAACGCAATATAGTTATTTGCGGAACTTGCGTCATTGAAACAGCTCTATGAAATAGTTGGTTGGTATTTGTAAAGGAGCTAACGAGGACTGGAGGTAACCTGATGGTTGTTCCCGCTGGAATAAGGGTAAAAGTAGGTTTTGGCCTACTGTGCCACGTTGGCCAGACGGGTTGGTATAGGATTTGTGTAAAGTTTTCCTTCTCTTTGCAGTGCTGTTGTCCTGCGTAGTTTAAAATCGTAAATTGGAATAAATTATTTGATTTTGGTAACGTATATTTCTGTATTCTTATTGTCAGACAATATTTTACTATTATTATTATAAGTATTTAAAAAACTGTGGAGAAATGAAACACCGAATTGAACATTGTCTATTTTATTGTATGTATGTATAATAATACTTAAACTAGTATTGTAGAACTAAATGTAGGCTTTACATACAGGGGCGAGTGAAATATATGCGTTCAATTAAAATATTATCATTATTTGATCTAAACATTATTAATAATAATCACTCAGTTCTTTACTTATACAAAAATGCATTAAAATTATATGTATTTTTTTCCAATTAATAATATAATTGTAGTGTGACAATAACAGCTTACAAAAAATTAGGATATTTTTTTCTGTTGTTAATCCAAAATGAGTTAAGTTCCCTTTGGTTTTTAAATAAAGTAATTATAATACAGTATTAGACTTAAAATTAAAGGACCATACACATTAGACCTACAGGAGCCGATGTACGCTAGAGTTTTTTTCAAAGTAAAGGGATTGACCAAATATTCAGATATTATGTCAAGTTACTCGTACCTACTTAAGAATTTTCTTACTAAGCCCGTTCATTTTACTACGTAATGTACCTGATTTTTACGATTTAATTTCCATTCTTTCTTACTGATTACTTAACATTATTTTGTTACGCCTCTATCTACATTGGCTCCTGTTAGCTTAATATCTCTAAGGCTTTATTTTTTAAGAAACAATGAGCCCCAAAAATATTTAGATGAAAACAAAAGCAACTTACACACAAAACAACGGACGGAAATAACATCTAAGATAAAAAATAAAATTTAAATAATAATAATTAGAAATAACAAAATATGCAGGTTCGGGGCTCAAACACAATAGGAACTATCAACCACTTTAAATAATATAAAGATTAAAAATACAGTGGCCGCGAGTTTCCAATTTCTTTTATCTATATTGAATATACCTAACTATACATTTACACACAAACTTATGAATGAACGTACAAAATGTCGAACATAATCTTGTAAAATATAAATGAAAGTGATACTAAAAGCCTGATTGTAACAGCGCCGTGGAAGGTCGCTTTACCCCTGATAAAGTGTTGAAACAAAAGCGTGTATAGAACTGTTTATGCTTCACAAAGACTAATAATTTTCATAATTATCACAAATATATTTATACAAATTTCATTTGGGTTGGTAACAGAATAAAGAGATGTGTAACATTTGACATGTAATACCGCTGGTGCTCCTTAGATGAATCAAATAGCGCATGCTTCTGCGGCTTCGTGTAAAACATCTCCGTCTCTTCTCACGAAATAATTCGAATGACAGAATAAACTTTTGAATTACTTTATTAAAGGTAAAAAGCCAACGTAGGTACGAGCTTTAAATGCTCGCTGCAAAATAAATTAGACAAATGGTTTTTTACTAAACATATTTCAGAAAGGTTCAAAATAATATCTTCTTTTTAGTTCAATAACAACATTGATTAGGTTATTTCATTTTCTTTTTTGCTCTGGGAATAGAAAATGACCCTTTTTTATCCGTTCTTTGAATCTATTGGAACCCTAATTAAAACTGTAAAGGTTTAAAAAGTACATTTAAACTGCAATATGCTGGTATTACATGCCACCGCACAATACCATTAGTAGTATATTTAATAGTGCCATTGTATCTACCTGTGAATTGCAAAAGAGTGGCCATGAGTTTGTTTGCCCTTTGTTCTCATAAGGCTCAACCCCTTGGAAACGGGCGGTTGTAGATCGGCACAGGCATATCATAGATTTTATATGGGTTTGATTTTTGTCAAATTTATTTGCTTACTATTTGACAAAACAGAGATTGTTGCTTTTGTGTGTGTTGATCTATGACTTTAGAGTCTACATAAAAGATGATTTCAAACAATTTTAATAATTTTATGATATACAGAGTTTGAGTTTAAAATTAAAAGGAATACCTTTATGAATGATTGTCTCTTTAGACTATGTTCGACATTTTCTATACGATCATCAATAATAAAACATACTTTGGATCGAAATTCCGTATACAGTTTAAGGTCTGATTACATATTTCCACGCCATGGGAATCCGTGATACTTTGTAAGTCACATAGCCTAATCAAAATGTACATATTACAAGATTTTAAATTACCCTTTTTATCGTATAGCTATTTGTCACGTGTACAGATCAAATAAGTTTATCTGAAAAGTATACGTTTGTTTAATCAGTAAATTATAGAACCCACTTAAAGTACTTGGTCATCCTTTTAAACTTTCAATATCAATTAATAAATAAGTATGTTTGGGAAATATTTAATGACTTGAGACCCCTCACACACTGCCGTCGGATCCCTAGCTAGGCAGAGCCTGCACTATGGTAAGCAGACTATGCTTTTATAGATACTCGAAAACAGTACTCAATCGCACTCATTCCCATAGCACAATTGTTTGTCTTCGTAGTCAGAATCATTAACAAATAAACCTATATGTTCTAGATTCATTTGTTTTGCTAATTAAAAAAAAAATACCCTTTGAATAAAAAAAGTTTCTGGAATGAACTTTGAAAATCCTTCAATTAGGTCCAATAAATATCAAATTCGTGAAAAAATATTTTAGCAAAAACATGTCTCAAAAACTTAGATGGAAAAATCATCTTTATGTCTTAATTTTATACAAAAGTTTGACCAAATATTTAGAGTGGATGTAATTATAGAATTTGAAGCGAGACACATTAAATTTATTATCACATTTCCCGTTGTAAAGACGCTTAGATCTGCACAAGGTTATGTGGTATCACTTGAAAAAATATTTTATTCACTTCGGACTCTGTGATACACTAATTTTTATAAATTGAAATAGACGTCAACACTGTTACTTAATACTATAAATATAATCTGTTTTGTTTATTGCACTTAGTTATTCGAAAGATTCCATTATTTTATGTTCTTTGGTTGGTTCTTAAAACTTTTTCAATGAATGGTTTTGTTTTAAAGAACCAAAAGAAACGCAATTTGTAATTTAATGAAATCTAAAAATAGTTAGCTTAAATCTTGATTGTGACTGATTGCAACATCGTCATAAAATAAAAAAAAACACAACCTTTTAAAAACACCACAGAGCCCTACAACAAAGAACATTTTTAATCTATAACAGTATTCTATTCGATATTTGAAATTGGGATGTTTTTGAATCCATACCTACATCTAATCTGGATTACGTCGAATTGCGTAAATACATCAATTAGTATAACTATTTAAACCCTATGTAATACTTTATTACGTTACTTAAACAATAAATAGCTTATGTTAAACTATAATTTATTATTGTACGAATGCGTATACATGTATTTATTCGAATACAGCTCACAATTTTATCGTAAGTAATTATGTCCTGGGAATATCCCGTCTGAATGTCACTCTCAATATTTATACACAAGTATATCGACCTTTGTGGAATCTCACTTATATTGAAATATTTAGTGGTACATACGATTAATTACAGTACAGCTTTGTATTTAAGGTTCAATTTCGATTAACCATGAGAGTGGTAAAACTTTATTAAAGTGAAATGGAGTGCTGTAGTCTGTCAAATTCAAATATTTTCAAATATTTTTAAGGTATTAAGACAGGGGCAGACAGCGGGCGTGACGGGATATGAACTCGTTTTAGAACTAGCTCTTGTCACGTCTCGGCTCCGTTGTGTCCGCTGTCTGTTCGACTAGGGATTTAATCAGCTTCACATCAAGTTGGTCAAGTTCCTTTTAAATCTTATGTGTATAATCAACAAACAAACTGAAATTTTTAGATATTCAGTTGCTTTTATTCAGTAACATTAAACCAAATATTAATCAGTGGATCAGAAGTCAGGTCCTGAATGTCAGTAATTAGACTGTCGCGGTCAGTACACCGGGCTGTGGGCGTCGTAGTTGAGCTGTAAGTAGGGGGGGATGGCTGCTGACAGTTCAGAGGCCCGCCGCCGGAGGGCCGCGATGCTGTGGCCACGCCATACTTCTTCTTCAGCAGGCTCACCTCCTCCACCTTGGTAAAGACAAAACTGAATAAGTTTTTGACCACGTAGCAATGCCTGCGGCAACACAACACATTGATTCTGAAGTGTCTGTACAATTCCTTCTGATTTTTTCTCAGTTTTCAACACCGTACAGGGTTAAGCTGTGTTATGTTCTTTTCTCGTTTAACAGAAGTAAGATAAAGAAAATACCTGTACATCTTTATTACGACGACGCATGTCCTTTGTTAGTATTTTTAAATTTAAGATATGGAGTGTTATGGTTGTACCTCTAAATCTATATATATATATATATATAAGAGATTTCCACGTATATAGTCACTCATCACGATATCTCTGGAACCATTAGAGCTAAAGACTTGAAATTTGGTAGGAATATTCTTTTCACCGAGTAGAGGTCAGCTAAGAACGGATTTTACGAAATTCCACCCCCAGAGGGCTGTGCGGGGGCGATGAAAATTAATTATTATTTTTGGCAAAACAACGTTTTCAGGGTCAGCTAGTTAAGATATAAAGATGCAACGATAATATTTGGTGAACTAGTGATCAACTGTTAGCGGGTTCCAACCCACTTATTACTTTACCTGGAGGGTATTATGAATTATAGTGATGTGTGGTTACGTAGTCAAGATTCTTTATAAAAAAATCCTTACGTTTACATATAGAGAAACATATAAAGAACGACATATTAAAAGGCAAACGTAAAACAATTCAATAGATACCTATTTTACGTCTATTGTTATGTTTACCTAATTCATTTGATTTAATCTAATGTTTATTCACTAAAATTACTTATTATACACAAAAATATACGATACGAAAATATAGTTTATTTATAAGCGGCGGTAGCCTAGTGGTTAAGGCATTGGACTTGCAATTAAGAGGACGTGGGTTCGGATCCTGACTGCTAGACTACTGACGTGAACCCACTCCTAACACAAGCAATTTAGCTTAGCGGGAGGGGTTAACGGGAATACTAGTAATTTCGGTTGCTAGTAGACCTTTAAAAAAAAATACTTAGATATATTCAAATTATAAATAAACTCATACCTAACACTAATCAATTTAAGAAAGCAAGGAAAATATTAATATGTTTTGTTTTCTTTTTAATTCTTGTGTTCACACTTTCTACTAATAAGGTATACTTACCAGAAGCAGTCGGCGAGGCGTTGTTGTTGGCACAATGCGCCATGTGAGGCGGTGTGGGCGACCCCTCTAGGGGGCCGCCGGAGTGCTGACCGGTGATGTTGTTGCAGTATGACATCATCGTGTCTCCTGGAACCAGACAACCACGACCGATTATGCTAAGATACTGTGCCTGATTGTTATCTAAAAAATATATGTGTTATGTTGGTTTGTGTACGCTTCAATAACTCAAAAACTTCTGCACCGATTGAGCTCAAATTTTGACACGACTTATAAACCGCTTCAAAGATTGTTTTTAGATATTTATCGAGTCAGGTTTGTTCTTCATTTTTCATCAATGCAACCACAATGTACCACAACGAAGCGTGGCAGGGTACAGCCAGGGGATATTATAGATAAACATAGGAAACTCTATCGAATAGCACATATAATAAATAATCTCGGCAAAGTCGAACATTTCAAAACGTTTCTACATGTTCTAGAACTATTTATAAAAAAAGTTACTAAATTTCTATGAGACTATGAAGAGTTGTGTGAGAGGTATGCTTCGGTACAGATAAGCAGGCTGGCACGGAGCGATACCACGGCCCAATCCCCACTCTTTAATCATTTTGAGGGGGTTGGAGAGGCACACTAGTGATACAAATTATTGCTACTTTTAAATAATAAACATGTCATGAAATGATTGGTGTTAGTTACTGCGCAAGCAAATTTTCTATTTATCAAAGGCTAGGCTTTTTTTTGTTGATTTACGAGTTCGTTACGAGTCTGGCGCCAGCGTAATCATTATCATAAGTCGCAGTAACTTAGTTACAGTTGTGGTTATATGATTTTCAAATATGATTGTTATTTTATTTCACCCCTAGTGGCAATGCATTTGTATGTTTGTGTATCAATGGGTGTCAGTAATAGCCCAACAGATTATATTTTTGCTCGTTTGTCATCTTATATAAGTACATGAATACAAATACATGCCTTGTGCTATTTATAGGCTATATGCTAGGTATAACTAACATAAGAAAAATTTGTACCATTCTTAATTAAAAAGAAAGAAAGACATACTAATATGCTTAAAAGAGAATAAAAACCATTAGCTAGAAACTTAAAAAAACGGAAGAATTATTTATGGGCGACAACATATCACGGCCTATTCAAGTTTAAACTTAGGTAAGCTTTTGCTTACCCAAGTCTAGACTCAAATCCGCGATTTTTTTCCTAAAATTAGGCAAACTATCTCCAAAAATGGCGGGTTAGTTAAAAAGTAAACAATTACAATACTTATCGTGATTAGAAGTTGTTAAGTTTTAAAGTAACAGAAGTGATGTCTAAAGTACAGTTCGTTAACCCAATCTTACCGAGCGAATTCAGCGGGTAGTGGCCCTGATAGGGTTGTCCTGACGCTACGGAGCTGATAGGCAGTGAAGGGTTAAGGTCAGCGGCTAGCTGTGGTAGACCACCTGCTCCAAATCCACTCATCGATACACCGCCCTGGGAAAGCTGGCCTAGGCCTGAAAATGAGAAATCAATGATAGGGAGGGAGAAGAAATGAAGTCAATCTGCGCTTGTTTACCAGAAAACTGAAGTAAATCGCGTATCCGAATACCTATAGTATTTGTATTCCGTATTCCGTGTGGTGACGGATCAAGAATACGGAGTGTCACCACCCCTATTCATCCCGTGGGTGTCGTAAGAGGTGACTAAGGGAACAAACTACGCAGGTAAACAGCACTGCAGAGAGAAGAAAAACTTGAAACAAACCCTATACCAACCCGTCTGGCCAGTGTCGGTCAGAGTCGTGGTATAGCAGGCCAAAACCTCCTTTCTAAGGAGAGGCCTATGTCCAGCAGTGGACTACTAAAGACTGTTGATGTGAACACCTATAGCTCTTTCTTGTGATGCTTTGATGAGTCTTCTCTTCTTTCATATAACCAATGAGGTAGACAAAATCATCCCAATTGATGGTAAGCGGTTACCCATGTGAGTAATATATTATAATACGTTGGTTTTGTGTTCAAGTTTGTTCTATTTTTCAAAATCATCCTCAGAGCCTTTTTCCAAACTAGATTGGGTTGGCTTTCAGTTTACAGCTACATTTTTAGTTTTTTTTAATTTTAAGTTTAGTTTAACTTCGATTATTGACGTGGAGCGACTGCTATCAGACCTTCACAACCCAAGTACAAGGCATCGAAGTTCTGTAGACAAACTGTTGTGGGACTTGTGAGGAGTCCAACTACCCGTAACGATTCCCACAGATGTTCGTGTGGCAACTGGGACCGACGTGGCGATGGCTTAACGTTTTCTCCGAGGCACGGAGGGGTCTTAATATGTTAAGAATGGTCCACCCCTTCATAGACTTGCTTAGGTTGTTTAACTTTGTAATGTTGTAACTAACTCGGTTACCACTTAGCCAATAACCCCTGTTTTTTAATATTCTTTCAAAATGTATTGACACTAACCAGCTGGCATAGACCAGGGTCTATCGGCGAATACTCCAGGGCCGCACATATCACCAGCTCCGAAGGGGGGAAGACCATGTGATGGCAGCAGAGCGCCCGGTGACCTGAACACGTTGGTGCTCTTCTTGCGTTTCTTCCATTTCGCGCGGCGATTTTGGAACCAGACCTGACACAAGAATATTTATAAAATATTTTTATACAACTTATGTAGTAAACTAGGTATTGAACGAGGCTTCGCCTACGTGAATATTTGTTATTTCGAACGAAAAAAATTGTTGTTTTATATTTTGAAAATAGCGAAATTCTTTGCAACCGTTCATCCCTTTTTTACCCCCTTTTTTTTCCGTGCGGAAGTTCCCTCGGATACCACCGGCATGTCGGACTCGAACCGACTAAAACCGCACGCCGTCTCGGGTACTAATAGCCGGGGAACCAGGTATACCCTAGAAAGGAAGTCCCTGGTGACCTTTTTTACCCCCTGAGGTGTGAAATTTTCATAAATCCTTTCTTAGTGGGTGCTTACAATATAAAAAGCATCATCTGCCAAAAATTTCAAGTTTGTAGCTCCACCGGTTTTTGCTCTGCGTTTATGACTCAGTCAGGCAATCACTGCAAGTGGTTTTATTATAATACTCGTAATAACAATATTTCGGACATCTGACACACAACGCCATTTAGTTTCAAACTAAGCAGAGCTTGTACTACGAAAGCAAGATTGACTGATAGAAAACTTTTTTTTACTTGTCTTGTCACAAGCGGTGATTTCTAGGGTATTTAGGAGAAATTAATTTGTTTTACGATGATTTGTTTCTAAATAATTACGAAAGATTTACTTTATTTACGAAAGAATTATTTGTCATAATATAATCAATTCACTTTCATTTACCTTAATTTATATTAAATTCACTGAAATTCACATTTTACACACACAATACTTGTTTAAATTAAAATAATAATAATAATAATAATAATATATCGTTTATTTTCTCACCAAAACCAAAATACATACAATGAAAATACGATTACGCTATAACATTTGACAATTTCGGTAGTGGATAGCTGGTGCCTGAGGTAGGTATAAAAACCTGTGTTACAGGACACCAGGTCCCCACTCGGACCTCGTCTTGACAATTCAAAATACCTTTGTGAGGTGGTTACAATATAGTTGTGCAAGAGTACAAAATTTAAGAAAAAAAAGAAAAGGAAACGAGCGGGAGTAGTAATAATTATAACATTAACAAAAACAGGGTGTGTGTGTGTGTGTGTATGTGTGTGTGTGTGTGTGTGTGTGTGTGTGTTTATGTATGTTTGTGTTTGCAGTGAGATTGGAGTTGTGAAGGAGTATATGCGTTATGTCTGCAAGCCCTACGACATGGTCTTGGGATCGGATCAGTCATATGACATATCCACTAGACTTACATATGTGCGCACCCCAGTTTCTGTAAGATTTATGTACAATGCATGTGTTAGTGTTTGATATGGAATGGATGCGCCAGTGTGTCACTGCAAGATCATTAATAGGTCCTCCGTCTCTTTATATGATTGCTTTAAGAGCCATTCTGAGATGATGGCTTTACATTGGTACGTATTAAGACTATGTAGGGACAAAATTTTGTGCAACTTTTTATACAAGTAGGGCCCTAGAAAAATAAAGAACCTACGGCTAAATGAACTTTTAACATGCAATGATGCGACCTCCAAACGATTACGGCGAGTATTATCAGAGGTGTAATAAGTTTGAGAGTGCTGTCTGAGAACGGTAGCTTTCACAAACAGTTGCCTCACTGTGAGAACTTTGCAAATTTCATAAAGCCTTTTAGTAGGGTACAGCCGAGGCTTGAAACAGCAAACCTTTAACACAGCTCTTTGGGCACGTTCAATCTGCAAGGTGTGAGATTTAGCTGCACCCCCCCATGTGGTAATGCAATAATTTAAGATAGATTGACATAGACCTGTATAGACCATTTTCATTACATGAGCATCAGCAGAGTGTCGAAGTTCTTTAAACATATAGATAAGTTTGCGTACTCTACTTGAGATATAACTAATATGATTTTTGAAAGTTAGGTTATTATCAATATAGATACCTAGATGTTTAATAGAAGTAACTTTTTCTATGAAATAAGAGTCACTACAAGGAGCATTATCAGGTAGGTTAAAGGTTATTTGTAGGGAAGTATCTAACGTATTAGGGGATCGGATAGAGAAGTCAACTACTTTGGTTTTGGTATTGTTTATCGTGAGTAGATTATTTCTTAGCCAATTATTAACCACATCGAAACCCTTTTGAGCGAAACGGTATGTATCCCTCCAATCATCTGATGAGAAAACCAGTGCAGTATCATCAGCATACGCGAAAATTGCTCCCTGCACAAATCATTTATATAAACCAGAAATAAACTTGGGCCCAGAATGCTCCCTTGGGGCACGCCGTAGGTTATGGGCGTTTCAGTACTAGTACAAGAACCGATTTTTACTAACTTTGATCTGCCCGTCAGATAACTACGAAACAGAGACAGTTGAGTCCCTCTAATACCTAAAGATTCAAGCCTATTCACAAGTATTTTTGTCGAGACCGTGTCGAAAGCCTTTGCGAGATCTAAAAATAATGCAACGCATTTCTGACCCTTGTCAAGTTTTCTGACTATAGAGTCCACCAGATTGTGTACAGCATCTTCGGAGGATAGATTCTTTCTAAAACCAAATTGGTTAACAGATAGTAGGTTACGATTTTCTAAATAATTAATAAGCCTAGAGTTAATAATTTTTTCTAAAATTTTTGACATTGCTGGTAGTACCGAAATGGGTCTATAGTTTTCCACACAGCCTCGATCGCCTGATTTGTGAATTGGATGGAGGAGCGCTCTCTTAAAGGACATCGGAAATTTGCCTGTTGTAATGCTCAGATTGAAAATATATGTGAGTGGGGTAACGAGAATGGTCCTGTATTTCTTTAAAAAGCCGGATGATATACCGTCCCATCCTACTGCACAGTTGATTTTTAGAGACATTATCAACCGTTCCACCTCACATTCGTCAGTTTCAAGTAGGACAAAAGATTCCTTGGAGTTGAATTGGACGTTAGTAGAAGAAGAGGAAGAATCTCTGTGTATGCTCTCTGCAAGTTGCCTACCTATACCTGCGAAATAGGTGTTAATGCTGTTTATTGACTGCTGATAATCTTTACCAGTCTCAATTAGGTCTATCGCGCTCGATTTAGGAATACTTCTATTAGTGGCAGTTCGAATCACCTGCCATAATTGCTTACAGTTGTTGCCAGCTTTCTTAAATTCCAACCTCTCGTAATCTCTTTTAGCCTTTCTTAATATATTTGTGCAGTAATTGCGGTATCGTTTATAACTAATAGACAATATTTCATTCGTTGGTTGTTTTTTTATTTTTTTGTATAAGTTATCCCTATGTCGAATACACTTGAGTAGCCCCGGGGTAATCCATGGTTTAATAGGGCGTCGCCTACGAGACAACTTGAAAATTTTTGTATTTCGCGCTAAGGCAGAGAGAATAGGCTCAATGAATAGTTTCATTGCTAAATCGGGATCTTTAGCTTCATAGACAGACGCAAAGTTGATGCTACGAAGGTTATCGGAAAGATTGTTTTCATCGATTCTAGTAAACGTGGAACATACTTTATGGGTAGCCAATTTTAGGGACATGGTGAGTAACACTGCGAAGTGATCTGTAACAGTAGTTTCTAATACAAATACTTTACAGGGTAATATGGTCTTCAAGTTTATGTGGTCAAGGCATGTAGAACCGTGAGTTGGAAGGTCGTGCCCCAGGAAAAGACCATATTGAGCAAGAGTATCGAAATAATCAATTATGTACGAAGATACGTGACCTTGGGCAATGTCGATATTAATGTCTCCCACAAGAATAATGTTTCTATAACGTTTAATATTATTAAGAAGGCAGTCCAAGGATTGCAAAAATATAGTAGGGTCTTTAAAGGCGTGTGGTCTATAAATTGCAATTATGGCTAATTCCGAGCCCACAGTGATTAATAAACTACTCGCGTCTGACAGACCCGGTTCACTTACTTTAATATTAGACAAAGTTGACTTAATGTAAACAATGACCCCATCATTTTTGTTATGTACTAATAAAGTTTTGTGTGCGACATACCCGTCGAGTTGGGGAATGTCCGGGTTGCATGAAAGCCAGCATTCAGACAGCACAATAAGGTCCACAGATCTCTCTAGTCTCGTTAATAAAGTCAAGAGTTCCGAGAAATTTGCGTTTACACTACGTATGTTTTGCGATAATATATTGATACACGGATAAAAGGTAGGTAATAGGTTTCTAAAATCGTTCAGATCGCATGTCACGGAGTCACAGAATGAAACACTATCCAAGTTACCCAATAAATCATTAATTGCAGCGAATGTTAATTATAATTACTAAAAGGTGGCAAAAACAGGTGTATAAATTAATAAAGGGATTGCCCGTACCAAGCCGAATACCAGCAGGTGATAAAAAATACATATTTTGTTGACTAAAGCTAGTTGCTATCGTATTATTTAACAAATAATGCGTACAACTCAGCATGATCATATTATAGTTCGGGCACATTTGATACCCGTCACTCAATAACGCAGACCTGTCGGTATAGTATAGTTTACGAAATAACTTATCGCAACACATCCCACCCATATGTACCCCCAATACATAAGGTGTTTCACTGGACTTAAGCAGAAAAAGAACGATTATAGTCATTAAAGTGTGTACATCTAATATATGTAAGTTATGTGCACCCAATATATAGGGAGTACTGAGACTGAGTACAGAGACTGAAATAGGAAATGAGCGATTATATTAATTAAAGTAACTTGTAGGTAAATAAACAAACAATTGCAGTCTGACCATATCAACCATCGCATTTGTAGTTGTGTAAATAATGTGAGTAATTTGGAGCAATGTACACATGTGTGTCTGTTTAGTTTTTGTGCGTGTGAAATGTAAGTGTTTAGTATTTTAGTATAATTATATAGATTTAACTTAAATATGAAAATATAAAAGTAAAATGTGGGTAAATATACAAACGACCGTAACATACAATAGATAAGCGGTCGTACGACTAGAGAGAACGTAAGGCAAGCGGTACACTCAGTCTTACGGTATTGTATTAATGTAAAAAACATGCAATGG